CATCGATATATAATAAATATTTAAAGACGTGTGCTCACATTGTGTCGTATGAGCGATAAAAAAAGACGACTGTGTGGTCTGAGTCGTATAGATGCACTACACATGTTTACTCTTGGTACAGTTATTAAAAAGTCAACGTGACCTTATTTTGAAACAAACCAAAGATACTTGTGACCTAATGAAACAGATCAACACTCAGTGAGGAAGCCCCTCCTGTTACACCCTCATCCCAATATTTATGTTTTGTTGATAAATGACTTAACATACAACACGTTCTTTGATGCTCACTGCAACCCAAACAGCATTGCCACCAAATGTTGTGTAGCTGTATAAACGAGTACACTGGTCGCTTTGTGGGCGCTGCCATCGTGCGGTGGAATCTCAGGGTCTGCTGGCGCCCGGCGACTGTGACACCAGTTTAACCACACAGGGAGGTGTTATCCTGCCGGGTTTTTGGCCTGCCGCACCTCCAGCATGTGCCCACTTGTTAAGGCCCTGACACACCGAAGGCCGCCTGTGTCGTCGCCTCACGTCGCCTAACGATGCCTTTTGTATTGGCCAAAAAGTTGCACTTGAACACACCGCAAAGACTACAGCCGACGGCCAACCACCACGTACGTTCTTCATGCGTGAGAGGAAATAACTCTCCATGCCAGCAGGTGGCGGTAGTCTGTTGTTATGATACGAGAAGACCATTTTCACACCGCTGTCGCTCACCACTCGTATTACAGGTAGTCTACTAATGGAGAATAATGTCTGATAAAAAGTTGAAAATGGCGCTGGCATTGTCAGCCCTTGGTTTTTTTGTGGAAAAAGAAAAGAAGAGGCGACAAATAAGGAGAAACCGCACTAATGGGTGAAAGCATGGATACTACAGCGGCATGTTCAAGGGGCTTTCCTGAACCTGTGTCAAGAGCTCGAGATAAATGATACCTCCAAACAGCCAATCAGAGAGATTCCTCTCACCGACGCTGATTCATCATGTCGAATTGGCTGAAAAAAGGCAGACGGGGGCCAACGGGTAGCGATGGAGCTGGACACACCGTAAAAACTACGATCGCGCACCAACGACCCAACTAGGAACGATGCCCGATGATCTCCTTGGTGTGTCAGGGCCTTTAGCTGCAGGGTCGTCAGCTGGAGACCAAAGGGGAACATTTAACTGCAGCTGAACTCTACATAACAAATCGCAAAGGGATATTTTGCTTTTTTTCTTGTGTTCAATGATCTCGATCTCATGGAGGAAGTATACCTTCAGTTGTTATGGATGTATGCATGAACACAGAGAATCCACCCTGATTGGACATCCCCTTAAAAATTGAGGTTAAAACCTGTCTATAGTGTTTCATCCTCCTTAAAGTGAAAATATCATAATGGACACATCAGAAAGAAAAGCTTCTGCAGGTTGTTGCTGTGTCAGCATTAAATGAGCAGAAGGGCCGTCAGGTTTTCCCAGAGTCACAGTTCAACACTCAGCATGCCCCATTACCACAGATGAGATTACTACGGTTCTTAAACGACTTATTGAGAACGTTAACTGTTTCACTGAAATAAACCGCGACGCCGTGTGCCGAGGCCAAATCCCTGACAAGGCACTGCTGGACGTTTTCAAAACAAACGACAGAGTGGACATTTAATTCCTCTCTAAAGTCAACTCTGTGCTGATTCTCACTTTCATTAGCTGTAAACTTTGTGTCCTGTGATATACAAGTGTGATTATATCTATATACACGTACATGTCTGAGTCCTAAACAACGTAAAGCAGCAGAATGAGAGCTGAACGATCAAAGCGGTTAGAACAAACAGGCTGTTCTCAACAATGGCACTAATGACTCCTTTAAACACCAGTGTAGTAAACACATCAATCATGCACGCCGTGGTTATTAATTCCATTCATTGCGCTGGTTTGTACTGTGTTGCTTGGGCAGCATGTCAAACCTGTAAATGGAAACAGAGTCCATTTCTGTCCACATGTTGTCCCTGATTCATCGCTCATCGCCATCACAGACTCTAAACAGTTTCCTGCACCCTGACACCGGTTGAGATCCCAATCGAAGCACTTCCAAGGCCTCGTCGACGTAAACAAACTAACCCCTCCGATGATGGATATCGGTGAAATGACAAAGAGGGGAAAAAATGACACGGAAGGAGAAAAAGTTCAGAAAAAAAGAAACAGTCAGCAGGAACAACAAATAAAACAAACCTGAAAGAGATGAAGCTGAGAGGAGGTGTGAGGAGGGTTTCTTTTTTCTTTTCTTAAAGCTGAGCTAAAGAGCCATCAGTCTTCAGCTCCAAATGTTCCCATCAAGTAAACATCAATAAATATGTATGAAGGGAGAGGGGGAGGCGGGGGAAGCGTTAAGAAATCAAGATGAGAAAGAAAATGAATGGTGAAAAATCTTTCACTCACAGAGCCGCCATACTGCCTTAATGTCTAAAGACTGAAACCTGCTCAAACGTTACACCAAAGGGTGACTCGGTAAAGTAAAGGGAAACCAATCCACTGGTCTCACCGTGTAACATCCAAAACATAATATGCTGATCTACTTTTTTTCAGCTTTGATCCGATTCCGATTTATGTACTGATACCAATTCTGTTTCCGATACTTTGGTTATCATAAACTAATAGTGTTGTTGTTGTTGTTGTTGTTGTTGGTATGTAGTTCAAGGCTACTCAACACTGTAGTGAACTGTCAGGTTTTCAAAATTTTTAGTTTTAATCTGAAGAGTCGATCATAAAGTAGGAGCTGTTCCATCTCTTTTGAACGTCGTAAAAAGTGGATTGGCACCTGAAATATTAGATCTTTTAAAGAAGAGCGTCGATATGGAGGAATTTAGATCTTAAGCGTGCGTTAAATCCTCAAAGTCATGGGCAGAAAAATCTGGCAGAAGCCAAAACTGAGAACGAATAGACTTTAAATGTGAAATATTTGTAAAGAAGCTCCCCCAGCCTTCAGCGAGGTGATCTGGCACGACTACCACTCGACGTCTCTGACGCACAGCCACCACCATCGGACTGTGTTGTCCCCACAACCACCACCGTCCTCTTTCATGCACGGCCTGCTCCGACCTCCACCTCAGTGGCAAGGAAGTGTGGACAACAGGAAGTACATCAGGACCACAAAGGAAAAATCCTTCCTGCATATTATCCCATCTGCTCTTTTGTAAAGTGCCTCAAGGTAACACTTGTTATGAATCGGCGCTATACAAATAATGATTGATTGAAGTATAACTTGCCTAAAAGCAGATTATCACTGCTTGCATAATTGAGATGTGGTTATTACCTCTACATATTGAAACAGGTAGATGTAGAGGTGTGTGAATACTGCGAGTTGAATGATGTGAAAAATGAAATACATTTGATTTTATGTTGACCCCTGTATCATGATTTACGTGGGCTATTGTTTAAAACAGTTCATGCTCCTGATTTGATTGATATATGTAGAACGGTCCTTTGATAGAGTGAGTAGAGAGACGGAAGTTTGTTTTCTTGTACAGGTGGAGTGACGCTGTGATGTGCGTACCTGCCCTTGTCCACATGACTGTGAGGTACATTGGGTCCTTGAAGCCTGTTTGGCTTGTTCAGCTGAATTTTATCTGCTCCTCTGTCCCATAAAACCTTCCTATTGACAGGCAGCTCCACATCGACCCTCCCTCCCCCCCCCTCCATATCCAGCCAACATTTTTCTTCCCTATGAGTATTAGTTTATTGAATAAGTGGCATCTGTTTTCCTGGCCCCGTCACCGTAAGGCGAGGTATTTCTCACTGACGCACAGCACTGATTTATACGCCGCTCTGACTCTCACCGCAAAAAATAAAGCTAAGCAAAAAATTTCCAATACATCCTCCATTCTCCCCACGACACACACACACCAATACAGACACACACATCACATCCTCCATCCTCCATCCATGCTGTTTATAATTAAGTTGGCAGATGTTATACACACTCAAACACTTTTACACTCTCATCCACAAACTCCCACTTCCTGTCAAACACAAATGGTGTGATGATGACACAACAAAGCGATAAATCACAGCCGAGTATTTGGTTTGCCGGCTTCTGAAAAACTGATACATCATTCATTTACCAATCTTGAATTCTGTGTCATGTTTTACGTGTTTATGTGCCATCCATATTGCTTCCCGGACCCAAAGAGAAAGGATGGAGATATAATTTACTCTCCTCCTTAAAGCTTTCAGGAATGACAGGAAACAAGCACATCACTTCCTGGATTGGATTAGAGTCTTAACTGTAATTGTTAAACAGTTTTTTCAACACAGCATGAATGTTTAGTACCATAACATTTGCACTATGAGGGCTTACAGTTTAAAGACACTTCAATATTATTGGGCCGTCGGACTCATTGCATAGCCTAAATCCAACAAGGTTGCATCAGATGTTCCGAGAAACTGGGTGGATGTTTCAACATGTCAACCCTGTCCGTTTTTGACATCTGGAAACGGTTTACAAAATCTTTTCCTTATTGAAATGCTTCTGGTGGTAAAGTGGTGAAAGGACTTGAGCTCCTATAGCACAAAGCGATTTTTACACTGCAGGTCACACCTACACATTTACACACTGATGGCAGAGGCTGTAATGGATTGTCCATCAGTATTAGCAAATCCATTCTGGACATTTATATACCAGCAACAAAGCAGCGGGAGCAACCTGGGGTTAAGTGTCTTCCCAAAGGATGCATCGGTGATGTGGCTGAAGGAGCTGGGGAGCGAACGTGCAACCTTCTGATTGAGAGACGACCGACTCTACCAACTGAGCGGCAACCGACCCAAATCAGTTTGGTGGGAACAGATGGACCAACAACTTATTTCATGTTCAACATCATGTCACCATTCCTTTATCTGTGGAAAACTCTGTCATAGTTTCTGTTTGTGACATCCAACATACTGGGTTTATCCAGGACTCCCATTCAACAGAGTTAGCAGTACTTCCAATCTGAAGCTAAATAAAACTTCGGGATGTAAGTTGAAAAATTACCTGTCTGGATTCTGCGGACAGACGTGCATCTGCAGCAGGATCCTCTGGGTGAAGGTTTTGAAGCACTGGCCGCACTTCCACAGGTGCCAGTCGCTGAAATCACTGCTCAGCTGGCTGGTGGAGGTCGGGCTCGCCAGGACTCGCTGGTTCTTTGACCCTAGCTGGCCGAAACTGGTGTCCGACTGAACACTAACCCCGACCTTGTCCATAAGAGAGAAACTCCTAGGGCAGGGGGAGTGAGGGAAGACCATGGAGCTCCTGATGGGGACGATGGAGGGGGTAGAAGAGGAGGACGATGAGGAGGGTTTGCCATTCTTGTTGAAGGACTGGAGAGACTCCTGTCTGCTCATGGCTTCCACCACTGTACCTGGGACGTTTACTGGAGACAAAGAAGAAGCACAGAAAATATGTGGTTATGCTTTTGTTGTCAGTTTAGCATTAGTTGAGAGAAAGACTTAAAGGTCCCATATTATGCTTTTTCTGGTTTTATATGCTCTTTAGTGTGTTTTCCAAGTGTCCTGTGCATGTTTAGGCACATAAATTAAGTCAACTTAATCTGCATGAATTCACTTCTTTTGTCAGATCAATTTCCAGTTTTTAGTTGTCCAGTGGACTTTGAGAGGTCTCTAACCTCCCTATTTGTTTTGAACACCCTGAAAGTATGGACTAGGGGGTCTTGGTGTCACAGGGACTTTAGACTGCGGATTCAAGCCAATGGAAAGAATGTTCTTTGAAGATAGAATGATGAGCTCAGTTATCTCAAGGAACTCGGAGAAAAACCAGTAATACTTCATTTTGACAGGAATGTGATGAGGTAGCTCAGAATCTGCCAAGAGATACTTCCAGACCCTTACAGTTAGGGCATTTACATGGAATTGATTATCACAGTTATGAACCTTATTCCTGTTTTGATCATATTTGGGATATGGGAATATGGTTACTCACATCCCTGTATACATGATAAATGCTAGTATCCCAGATTCTGATTACTCCATCTTATTTGCACATGACGTCTGTGATGTTTATTTTTTACAACAGAAACAGCAGCCATTTTGAAATCTTAAAAAAATACAGATCACTGTGGCTTATTTCCACATCGTGTTGCAGATATGGCAGATCCACCTAATAGCTCAAGAAGCTATTCTCTCACATTGTCCCCGCCATGTTTGTTTTGCTGATACATCTCTTGGCTGAGGCCGTGCCAACGAAGGTAGTCGGCAGCTGTCAGAAACCGGGTTGAGGTGTATACATGCCACAGTATCCCTTTTCTGTCTGCGTTCTCCAGGTAGTCAAATTGGGTTTCTCAAAATTGGGATGATGGTTTATCCTGGTTCCTGAAATCAGGATTTGATGTTTACATGCGCAAACGTAAAAACCAGGATACGAGAGGACCATTGAAGTATACCCCAACATACTGGAGGGGTTATATAACTGACAGGGTTTGGGATCATTTAAGGATGTTCAGAGATAGAGCAAAAGGGACACGGACAAAGTAAACTCCACTCTGGCTAGCTCGGCCTTCTGAAATCTTTGGTGCAACAGCTTAGAAGCACCAGTCCAGATCAAATGACATTTGATCTGCAGCCATTACAAACTAGGTCTGGACGAGTCACGGATAGAGAATAAGTAGGTGGACCCCGCTTATTTTCTTATTCTAGAGTCTCTTTTTATGGGACTCTCATTTATCCAAGACAATTCATGTCTGTGTCTGATGAATAAAAGTAATTTGGACTTTGCTGTTTTGATGGAAACATTGTCTTAACTGAGGCCAGATCCGCCTGGCTGGCTCAGAGTAAACTACAAGCTCCTGATTTCATTGAGTTAGGCTGTTTGGAGTCTGTTCGTTAGTACAGTTACAGTGACACGCAGTTCCACTCTGTGACCACAGAAATGTTTCTTAAACAAAAGGGCCGAGGCTCTGGGCCCAACTGGTCCTCCAGCATGTTCCTGGTGGGTTACCATGCGATGGCCGTTCTGCTGATTTTAATATTCTTAGAAGACCCAGTACAACTTTTACTGGGGCAACTATTATCATGACTAATACTTCTACTTATGTAAGAACAATGACATTGACACTATGAATACTACAGTCAAACATACAAGAAGCCTAATACGTCCAAGCAGTGCAGCTACATTAAAATGGCCGAAATACACTCATGCACAAACAGGACCTGTGGACATGTATTAAGGGAGAGATGTCTGAGTGGGGCTAAACACAGAGCGTACCAGAGCGGTTGGGGGTACAGTACTTTCCTCAAGGGCACCTTGACAGTACTCAGGAAGTGACTTGGCACCTACTATCCCCTTTTTACACCTTTTCAAACAGTCCCCTGTGGTCTAAATGAAACATTTGTGCTGTGCTTTGGTCAAAATATAACATGAATCAAGCGCGAGAGGAGGTTTGTGACCCTGTATAAACCAGCTCTGTTAGAACGCTCCGTTTTGGTGTGTGTGTCTATTTAAATTAAATGAGCCCCCCCTCCCCCCCATAGTTTTCCCTGTAGACATCCCTCCTTCACTAGCAAAAATAAAAATGGCAGACCTGCGCAATAGTATTGCTCTCGGCTGGGGATAGATTCCATGGGTGACTACCAGGGGAGGGGAGGGTTTTTTTTTTTACTAGAATCCCACTGTGACATCACAAGGAGAGCAAATTTGAACGGAGCATTTTTCTCTGTGTTGTAAGACTTATGCAGAACACAAACAAAGGACTGGATGGGTTTATTTAACATACTGTGGGTCAGTAGACACTCAGGTTACCCACATATATGTTCAAAAACACTTTACAAGTGGATTTTTCATAATATGTCCCCTTAAAACTACACTAAAAACTACAACTACTACCTCTGGTTTTGTAACTTCTATACACAACACTGTTATGGCAAATGCTATAAAAAAAAACCTGGTTCTTCCAGTTCAAAGAACAGATGCAGTGTAATTTAAAGATAATATGGATTCCAGTCAGAACCACTTAAGTCAAGGAAAACTTTTATGTCCATAACAATAACTTATACTTGGCAGTATGGCTCTGTTTAAGCAGCAAATTCCCCCCGGTCAAAACAGAGCAGACGCAAATGACAACAAAAATGAAAATGATGAAGTCCAACAGCTTGAGCGCAGGAGCTGGGATGGGGATGGGCTGCAAAGCGGCTTGCATAGAAGAAATGGGAAGGGTAGCAGGCAGGTTAAATAAGGTGATTTGGAGGTTTTGAAGGGAGTTAGCTGGACCATCAGTCAACATGGACTAGGTTTACATTGGGTACTTTCACTTCATTCAGTCAGGATTTTGAGCCAGGCTTGACTTACCTAATGTCATGTATTGTAAGTAATGTAAATATTCTTTAGGGTTTCTGTTTCAAAAACTGCTTTTTACCAACAACAGTAAACAAAGAAGTTGAAAAGATAACTGTATTAGTCAGATAAGATGGTCACTGGTAAAGTAAACAGTCAATCACAGTGACATTAACATGGAAAAAGGAGATTATATAAAAGTGTGTAAATTAGATTTTGGTTGAACCAGCTGATGCGAGTTGTCCTCACTTGACCCACAATGCAGCTGTGTTTTGTTCTGTGGTTTGACCAACTGACAGACCTGGACTGCATAACCCTTCATTATGTTTGAAGGGACATTAAAGGACTTGTCTTACTTTAACTCACAGTGGATGGTTTCGCTTTCCATTCTGTCAAACTGGTTCATCAGGGAAACCTTGGCATCATTGGACTTACTCTGTTTGACAACAGAGACATTAAATGTTTCCTAACTGTGGATCTTAATTGAATTGTGCCCATGATCTTTCCCGAACCTAAAGCCGTACTGCCAATTTCCACATAGTCTGCGCTGAGCTCTACGGCGCCGTTTCATGCAGCTCTAGTCAATGCTCCTGTTTCCACAGCGAGCGCCACGGTCCATCTCCGGAGCGTTCCAGCAGCTGTACTCATGATACTATTATGCAGCCCTATCAGGAAGTCAGCACCCGACTCTTGAGGACTGAGCAGATTTGTCAGACACCAAGCATTGCTAAAGAAATCCACCAGAGCTCTATCAATCAATCTTTATTTGTATAGCGTCAACAAAAAAGCAGGTACAAGACCTTACTTATTGCTATATCACAAAGACCAGGCTTAATCCATCATGAGCACTTTAGCAAAGCAGCTAAAGTAACAGTGGTAAGAAAAAAAACATCCTTTTAAGTTGCAGAAATCTTCGGCAGGATCCCAGGATTGAAAAAGGGATAGGAGGAGATGGGATAAGATGCAGGAAGAGGGATAGGGAACAGAGGCGGGTGGGTGGGGGGGGGTGTTGTTCAGACAGGCCGTCCATCAACGATCCCTGTATAGAAATCCTAGATCTCAGTTTACTAAAGAAAGACAATTTCCAAGAACTTTCTGTTTCAAAAACAACCTTAGCTCAATATCAGGAGGTCGACCACCACTCATCTCAAGTCTTTGAGAACATCCCCTGCAGTCTAATCCATGCAGTGAAGACCAAGCCGTCCTCTTTCAGCAAAGCTGTGCTGCACCTCTGCAGCCCAGTCATCATAACCATTTTCCATCCCTCATCAGCTCACCTCTGTCATCAGGCCACCAGGCTCCATTGATCCTCTAATAACCTTACGAGGAGATAATTACACCATCTGTAAGTCGCCCGACGGCGCTATTGACGCCCACGTTACGCGCTGCTCGCCAACACTTAATTCATTTCGCTACAAACATCTCATATACAAAAAATGCAAGTCAATACGGTTTGTGCTGCGCATGAAATGTATCATCAAAATGGGAGAATTATGCAGATGCAGTTGGCAGCAGTGCCGAGTCTGTGATTTCTTTCTTTATAAAGGGGTGGCGGGGGTGTTCTCAGGGAGGGCGTGACGTGAATACAAACTGGCCACAGATCTCCATCAGCGAGCTGAATGCAAAGTTTCAAAGCAACTTTTTTTTAGCCAACAGGACATGTGTTTGATACAGAAGAGAAGTCAAGTGGAGTTTTGACTTAGCCTCTGTCTTAGTCTTGTGTTTGTCGACCTCGTTTGAGTGCTCCTCACCTGCTTTTCTTCATCTTAACGAGAACCATACGATGACCCCTCCCATCCTTTGTTTTATTTTCTGTTTATATCCCTTTTCTGGCATCCTCTATAGAAGTCTGTACGGGTACATTAAATTCATCAACATGCAGATGAAGTCTGACAGCTCCACAGAAAACACAAAACGGATCCATTAATAATTTATGTAATGTTGAATCAGGCCGCACGCGCCACCTGAAAAACTACAAAGTCCTCAATAGGTTTCTTTTTTGATCCACGTAAAACCTAAAGGATCCTAATTCACTATTTAGACACATAGAAACAATGACAGAGGTATGTTTGCATACATGACTGAATA